CCTCTCTTCTCCCACTGTCTGATTCGCTACCATTAAAACCGGTTGGTTTCCCTTCTGATTCTTTTTACTAATTTCATAATTGTATGTGTGTCCATGTGTGTGGTTATTGAGTCTTCCTTTATGTACCACTCTAGATCATAAATTTCATGAAGAAAGGGTGCCTATTTTGCTTATAACTAACCACCTATTTCTCTATTTTTTTGAGACAGGGTCTTGCTGTCACGCAGGCTGGACTGAAATGGTTAGATCATGGTTGACTGCAGCTTCAGCCTCCCAGGTTCAAGCAATGCTCCCACCTCAGCCTCCCCAGTGGCAGGAACTACAGGCACATGCCACCATACCTGGCTACTTTTTAAAATTTGTTGAGGAAAAGGGGTCTCACTATTTTGCCCAAGTGGTCTCAAAATCCTGAGTTCAAGCAGTCCTCCCACCTGGGCCTCCTGAAGTGCTGAGATTACAAATGTGAGCCACCATACCTGGCCCTACTTTTTAGCAAAGTACCTTGGACACAGAAACTGGGAAATAAATGCTTTTGAATGATCAAAAGGGTCCACATTGCATAAGGCCTGGCACTTCACAGGTCTTCCATGAGCCTTCTTACATAAAAATGCATACATACTGACAGATGAAAGGATGAAGAAATAGATAGATAGATAGATGGATATTAATAATACAAGAAGAGAAAAAAAAGTAACAAAATGAATTCCATAAACAAACCTTCTACCATTTGAAAATTCATGATTTCAACTGAACAACTATCTGGCTAAATTAATTTTTCATTTTTTAATTGGGTTGCTTGATTACATACATTATATAAAGGTCCCTGGACGATATAAGACAGTGAGTGCTCAATCCGTAAAACCTTAGCTACATATCCAAATTAAAAACTTCTAGGGCTTATACTCCTAATGCCAATTCTGCTTATTTTTATATAAAAGTCACTTTGTTGGCATAAAGACTGGGACTTGAAGGCCAGTTGCCATGGCTCACTCTTATAAACTGAGCACTGTGGGAGACTAAGGCAGGAGGATTGCTTAATCCCAGGAGTTTAAGAGCAGCCCCAGCAAAATGGCAAGTCTCATCCCTATAAAAAATGTAAAAACTAGCGAAGTGTGGTGCTGTGTTTCTGTAGTCCCAACTACTGCATTGGTTGAGGCAGGAGAATCACTTGAACCTCGGAGGTTGAGACTGCAGTGAGCCATGGTCAGGCCATTGCATTCACACCTGGGTGATAGAGCAAGACTCCGTCTCAAAAGGAAAAAAAAATAACAGAATTTGCAAGTTGATATAAAATCTCATTTATTTGGGACTGAAAGAAACAAAATAACTCCTCTTAGGTTGTCATTATTTATTGATGTGAGGTCAAAACAAATGACTCACGTGTACTGGTTTACACCTCTGTTATTTACTTTGTTAAAGTAAATGAGCAAAACAAGGGTACTGCATATTCCACAAGAGAGCTTTTAAAATAGTTTATTGTGCTTTCGGTTCTGGGGCACATGTGCAGAACATGTTGGATTGTTGCATAGGTACATACATGGCAATGTGGTTTGCTGCCTCCATCCCTGTCACCTATATATGGCATTTCTCCCCATGTTATCCCTCCCCAACTCCCTACCCTGCACTGTCCCTCCCCTAATCCCCCCCAACAGACCCCAGTGTGTGACACTCCCTTCCCTGTGTCCATGTGTTCTCATTGCACAACACCTGCCTATAAGTGAGAATATGCGGTGCTTGATTTTCTGTTCTTGTATCAGTTTGCTGAGAAAGATGGTTTCCAGATTCATCCATGTCCCTAAAAAAAAACATGAAATCATTGTTTTTTATGGCTGCATAATATTCCATGGTGCCACATTTTCCTTGTCCAGTCTATCATCAATGGGCATTTGGGTTGGTTCCAAGTCTTTGCTATTGTAAACAGTGCCACAATGAACATACATGTGCATGTGTCTTTATAATAGAATGATTTATAATCCTTTGGATATATACGCAGTAATGGGATTGCTGGGTCAAATGGAATTTCTATTTCTAGGTCCTTGAGGAATTGCCACACTGTCTTCCACAATGGTTGAACTAATTTAAACTCCCATCAACAGTGTAAAAGTGTTTCTATTTCTCCACATCCTCTCCAGAATCTGCTGTCTCCAGATTTTTTTTAATGATTGCCATTCTAACTGGGGTGAGATGGTATCTCAATGTGGTTTTGATTTGAGTTTCTCTAATGACCACTGATGATGAGCATTTTTTCATGTTTGTTGACCTCATATATGTCTTCTATTGAAAATTGGCTGTTCTTGTCCTTTGCCCACTTTTGAATGGGTTTTTTTTTTTAAATTTTTCCTGTAAATCTGTTTTAGTTTTTTGTAGATTCTGGATATCAGTCCTTTGTCAGATGGGCAGATAGCAAAAATTTTTTCCCATTCTGTTCATTGCTGGTTCACTCTAATATTGTTTCTTTTGCTGCACAGAAGCTTTGGAGTTTATTGATCCCATTTGTCTATTTTGGCTTTTGTTGTCAATGCTTTTGGTGTTTTAGTTATGGAGTCCTTGCTGATGCCTATGCCCTGAATGGTTTTGCCTATGTTTTCTTCTAGGGTTTATATAATGTTAGGTATCATCTTTAAGTCTTCAATCCGTCTGGAGTTAATTTTAGTGTAAGGTGTCAGAAAGGGGTCTAGCTTCTGCTTTCTGCACACTGCTAGCCAGTTTTCCCAACATCATTTATTAAACAGGGAATCCTTTCCCCATTGCTTGTTTTTGACAGGTTTGTCAAAGACCAGCTGGTTGTAGATATGTTGTGTTGCCTCCAAGGCCTTGGTTCTTTTCCATTGGTCTATATCTCTGTTTTGGTACCAATGCCATGCTTTTTTGATTACTGTAGGCTTGTAGGATAGTTTGAAGTCAGGTATTGTGATGCCTTCAGCTTTGTTCTTTTTGCTTAGAATTCACTTGGCTATACGGGCTCTCTTCTGGTTCCATATGAAGTATAAGGTGGCTTTTTCAAGTTCTGTGAAGAAGGTCATTGGTAGCTTGATGGGGATAGGGTTGAATCTAAAAATTACTTTGGGAAGTATGGCTATTTTCATGATACTGATTCTTCCTAACCATGAGCATGGAATATTTCTCCATCTGTTTGTGTCCTCTCTTACTTTGCTGAGCAGTGGTTTGTAGTTCTCCTTGAAGAGGTCCTTTACATCCTTTGTTAGTTGCATTCCTAGGTATTTTATTCTCTTTGTAGCAATCGTGAATAGCAGTTCATTCTTGATTTGGCTCTCTTGAAGTCTCTTATTGGTGTATAAAAATACTTGTGATTTTTGCACATTGATTTTGTATCTTGAGACTTTGCTGAAGTTGCTTATCAGTCTCAGGAGCTTTTGGGCTGAGATAAAGGGATCTACTAAATATACAATCATGTCATCTGCAAATAGAGATAATTTGACTTCCTCCTTTCCTAATTGAATACTCTTTATTTCTTTTTCTTACCTGATTGCTCTGGCTACAACTTCCAATACTATGTAGAATAGGAGTGGTGAGAGAGGGCATCCTTGACTAGTGGCAGTTTTTAAAGGTAATGCTTTTAATTTTTGCCCATTCAGTATGATATTGGTTGTGAGTTTGTCATAAATAGTTTTTATTATTTTGAGATATGCTCTGTTGATATCTACTTTATTGAGAGTTTTTAGCATAAAGGGCTGTTGAATTTTTTCGAAGGCCTCTGCATCTATTGAGATAATCATATTTTTTGTCTTTGGTTCTGTTTATGTGATGAATTACATTTATAGACTTGAATATGCTGAACTATCCTTGTATCCCAGGGATGAAACCTACTTGATTGTGATGGATATGTTTTTTGATGTGCTTTTGCAATTGGTTTGCTAGTATTTCATTGAAGATTTTTGCTATGTTCATCACGGATTTGGCCTGAAGTTTTCTTTTCTTGTTGAGTCTCTGCCAGCTTTTGGTATCCAGATGATGTTGATCTCATAAAATGATTTTGGATGGATTCCCTCTTTTTGGATTATTTGGAAGAGTTTCAAAAGGAGTGGTACCAGCTCCTCTTTGTATGTCTGGTAGAATTCAGCTGTGAATCCATCTGGACCTGGGCTTTCTTTGGTTGGTAAGCTAGTAATTGCTGCCTCAACTTTGGCCCTTGTTATTGGTCTATTCGGGGTTTTGACTTTTTTCTGGTTTAGGCTTGGGAGGGTGCAAGTGTCCAGGAATTCATGCATTTCTTCCAGGCTTACTGGCTTAGGTGCATAGAGTTGTTTGTAGTAATCTCTGATGGTGGTTTGTATATCTGCAGAATCGGTGGTGATATGCCCTTTGTTGTTTTTTATTGCATCTACTTGATTCTTCTCTCTTTTCCTTTTTATTAATCTGGCTAGTGGTCTATTTTGTTGCTCTTTCAAAAAACCAGCTTCTGGATTTATTAATTTTTTTGAAGCTTTTTTTTTTTGTGTGTGTATGTCTCTATCTCCTTCATTTCTGCTCTGATCTTAGTTATTTCTTGTCTTCTGCTAGCTTTTGTGTTTGTTTGTTTGTTTTTTATCTTGCTCCTCTAGCTCTTTGAATTTTGATGATAGGGTGTCAATTTTAGATCTTTCCTTGCTTCTCATGTGGTCACTTACTGCTATAAATTTTCCTCTAGATACTGCTTTAAATGTGTCCCTGAGATTCTGGTACATTGTGTCTTTGTTCTTATTGGCTTTGAAGAACATCTTTATTTCTGCTTTCATTTCATTGTTTATCCTGTCAACATTCAAGAGCCACTTGTTCAGTTTCCATGAAGTTGTGAGGTTCTGAGTTAGCTTCTTAGTCCTGGGTTCTAATTTGGTTACACTGCAGTCTGATAGACTGTTTGTTATGATTTCCATTCTTTTGCATTTGATGAGGGGTGATTTACTTCCAATTATGTGGTCTGTTTAGAATAAGTGTGATGTAGTGCTGAGAAGAATGTATATTCTGTGGATTTGTGGGTGGAGATTTCTATAAATGTCTATAAAAATATGGAATGCTTCACCAATTTGCATGTCATCCTTGAGCAGGGGCCATGATAATCTTCTCTGTATCATTCCAATTTTAGTATGTGTGCTATCAAACAGGCACCCAAGAGAGGTTTTTTTTTCTTAGCAAAGATTAAATTTAATTTATACCAACATATTCTACTCTAATGAGGAATTATAAGTTGTGAAGTTAAGAACACCTAAAAATGTAAAAGCCATAATTGGCATCTTCAGAGATTTAATATGATTTATTTTTTAATTACAGATGTAAGTATATTGCAAATTTTATTTGTCGAACGGCTTTCTAAAACAAGTAAAAGAAAATCCAACCTATAGTAATCTATCTAAACAATATTGTGGTCACTTATCTCACCTAACAAGTTATCGAGAGGCAAGGAGAGCTCTGGGCACAGAACATCAGATCTCCCCCTCTGTGAGGCTCCTTCATTTCACTCTCAGGCTGGAATGGCATGAGCTTGCAATTCGAGGCATTACATCCACATGCAACAATGCCCAGCAGCTAAAACAAACAAACAAAAAAGCCAAGTGTGTCTGCCTCAGTGTGTGTCTCTAATTAAAAATGAAATGTACTTACTCAGAATCTGAAACATTCAGTCACCTTGTGGGATTTCTCTAATTGGCCAGATTGTGTCACATTTTAGGACTTAACCAATCACTGGCAAAGGAAATGAACAATAGTCATTTGCTCAGACTAGCAGTGTTCAAACTCTTTGGTCTCAAGACTCCTTCCCACTTTAAAAATTCTTAAGAGATTCTGGATATCTGTATTTTATTATCTATCAGTGTCTACTTTGTCCTGACTCAAAATGGAGAAAATTTTACAACAATAGCCCACAGCACACATTCCATTAGCTATCTCAGGGATGTCATCATCAGGTATGGCATAACCTCTGAAAAATTCCTCTTTTTGTGTGTAAGAAAATGAGAACAAAACAGCAAATAATGTTTATTATAAAAATAAAGACAACTTAAATCCAGTGGATTCCTTAAGAGGATCTCAAAATCATGACCCCTGGACAAAACTTTGAGAATCACTAGATCACACTGTAAGATGGAATACTCAGGGATTTCAGATAGAGCAACCTTCTCAGTAACATATGGCTTCATGGAAGAGCATGGATACTTGCATAAAATTGGAATTCTGTTGGTAAAGGAAAGGGAGTTAAAATGGATGTTGTGTAGGTAACCAACAGTCAGTTACATACATGCAAGTCAATCTTTGAAAGCCCAGTGATATTTTTAACATACAAATGATAAAACATATATGATAAATGCATTTGATATGTGGCCATTTTATGAGTTATATCCAGCCCTTATACATATTCTGATGTCAGTACATATATGCAATTTTATCATATATATTTTAATGAAATATACTTTTTATAATTTTAAAGTCAGTTATTTCTGATGAGTCATATACTGGCCTTTATAAAGATTCAGAGAGTTTAAGTTGAATAACCTAATTTTGGCCATTGTCAATTTGTAAATGTGGAACTGTTCACTGGAGACTGGAGTCCAGCCCCCACAAAAAAAAAAAAATGGTCCTACAGGTGACCATTTTATACAGTATTCAGTGCTGCTTGCCTTTTTTGTGTTTTATAGTGCCAAGTCTCCTGTATGCTGGTACTAACTATCTCATAGTACCAGACAATCTTACATGCCACTCAGGATGCCCTTTGTAGTTATTGCTCCATAATAATACTAGGAGACCCTAATTATGGAGCTTCTACCAGGTTAAGTGAATCATCTTGCAGAGAAATGGCACACAGTAGCTTTACGATTTGGAAAAACAACACACTGCTTTGATCACAAATTTTAAATGTCATGGAACTGCCATAGTTTTTATTAAGATTGCTCTACCAAGACGGCTGAATAGGAACAACTCTGGAGTACAGTTCCCAGTGAAAACGCAGAGGGTGAGTGATTATCACATTTCCAAACAAAGTTTTACTGCCCACAGATCAGGAGATTCCTGGGTGAAAAAGCACCATGAGTCTCCAGCATGGCTGATTCAGCTGGCACAGCGGGTCTTTGCACAAAAACTCACACAAATCCGGGCACTGTTTCAACTGGTGACTGGAACATGTGGGTGACAGAGTCACTCATTCAACTGAAAGAGAGGGTCTGAAACAGGGAGCTAGGTGATCGGATTCGGCTGGTCCCACCCCCACAAAGACCAGCAGTCTGAAACACTCTGGATTGAGAGTTTCACAGCAAGCACAGCTGGACCTGGATGGTCCAGCTCTATGCGGGGAAGGGTGTCCACCATTACTGAGGCAATCCACCACTACCGAGGCAGTCCATCATTACCAAGGCAGTACACAATTACCGAGGAAGTCTGCCATTACTGAGGCAGTCTGCCATTACTGGGGCAGTCCACCATTACAGAGACAGTCTGCCATTACAGAGACAGTCTGCCATTACTAAGGTAGACCACCATTACTGAGGCAGTTCTAACTATACCTCTATAAACAAAATTGCAAGGAAGTTCACACAGCAGCTGGGCAGAGCCCATGGCAGTTCAGCAACACCTCTGCTGGCAGACTGTGACTAGGCCACCTCCTTGCTGGGTAGGGCATCTCTGAAAAAAGGCAGAAGCATCACAGGAACAGCAGCTCTGAACAGAAAAATGGAGCTCACAGCACAGCACTCGAGCTCCTATAAGGGACAGACTGTTTCCTCAAGCAGCTCCCCAACTACCGTATATCCAGAGACGCCTTATAAAGGAGAGCTCAGGCTGACATCTAGCAGGTATGCTTCTGGAGCAAAGATAACAGAAGAAGAAACTGGCAGCAACTCTTACTGTTCTGCAGCCACTGCAGGTGATCCCCAAACAAGCAGGGTCTGGAGTGGACCTCCAGCAGTCCTACAGCAGAGAGGCCTCACCATTAGAAGGAAAATTTAGAAAAAGAAAAAAATAACTTCGTCAGCAATAAAAAGGATGTCCAGAGACCCCAACTGAAAGCCAACAACTGCAAAGACCACAGATAGATAAATCCACAAAGATGGAAAGTAACCATTGCAAAAGGGATGAAAACACCCAACGCCAGAATGCCTCTCCTCCTCCAAGGGATCACAACTCCTCATCAGCAAGGGAACATGGCTGGATGGAGAATGAGTCTGATGAGTTGACAGAAACAGGCTTCAGAAGGTGGGTAATAACAAACTTCTCTGAGCTAAAAGAACATGCTCTAACACAACGCAAAGAAACTAAGAACCTTGTAAAAAGATTTGACAAAATGCTTACTAGAATAAACAGCTTAGAAAGAAATATAAATGAATTGATGGAGCTGAAAAACAAAACATGAGAACTTTGCAAAGCAAACACGAGTTTCAGTAGCCAAATTGATGAAGCAGATGAAAGGATATCAGAGATTGAAGATCCACTCAATGAAATAAAATGGGAAGGCAAGATTAGAGAAAAAAGAGTAAAAAGAAATGAACAAAGCCTCCAAGAAATATGGGATTGTGTGAAAGGACCTAATCTACGTCTGATACGTGTACCCGAATGTGACAGCAAGAATGAATCCAAGCTGGAAAACACTGTTCAGGGTATTATTCAGTAGAACTTCCCCAACCTAGCAAGGCAAGCCAGTATTCAAGTCCAGGAAATACAAAGAGCACCACAAAGACATGCCTCAAGAAGAGCAACCTCAAGGCACATAATCATCACATTCACCAGGGCTGAAATGAAGGGAAAAAAATGCTAAGTGTAGCCATAGAGAAAGGTCGGGTTACCCACAAAGGGATGCCCACCAGACTTACAGCAGATCTCTCTGAAGAAACTTTACAAGCCAGGAGAGAGTGGGGCCAATATTCAACATCATTAAAGAAAAGAACTTTTAACCTAGAATTTCATATTCAGCCAAACTAAGCTTCATAAGGGAAGGAGAAATAAAATCCTTTACAAACAAGCAATTTCTCAGAGATTTCATCACCACCACATCTGCTTTACAAGAGCTCCTGAAAGAAGTACTAAACATAGAAAGGAGCAACCAGTACTAACCACTCCAAAAATGTATCAAATGGTAAAGAGCATCGACACAATGAAGAAACTGCATCAACTAATGGGCAAATCCACCAGCTAGCATCAACACGACAGGATCAAATTCAAACATAACGAAATTAACCTTAAATGTAAATGGGCTGAATGCCCCAATCAAATGACACGGAATGGCAAATTGGATAAAAAGTCAAAACTCATCAGTGTGCTTTATTCAGGAAACCCATCTCACATGCAAGGATACACACAGGCTCCGAACAAAGGGATGGAGTAAGATTTACCAAGCAAATGAAGAGAAAAAAAAAAAAAGCAGGAGTTGCAATCATAGTCTCTTATAAAATATACTTAAAACCAACAAAGATTAAAAGAGATGAAGAAAGGTATTACATAATGGTAAAAGGATCAATGCAACAAGAAGAGCTAACGATCTTAAATACATACACAATCAATACAGAAGCACCGAGAAACATAAAGCAAGTTCTTAATGACCTACAGAGACTTAGACTCCCACTCAATAATAGTGGGAGTCTTTAACACTCCACTGTCAATATTAGACAGATCAATGAGACAAAAAATTAAGAAGCATGTCCAGGACTTGAACTCAGACCTGGACAAAGCAAACCTAATAGACATTTACAGAACTCTCCACACCAAATCCATGGGAAATATATTCTTCTCAGCACCACATCACACCTCCACTAAAATTGACCACATAATTGGAAGTAAATCACTCCTCAGCAAATGCAAAAGAACAGAAATCATAACAAACAGTCTCTCAGACCACAGTGCAGTCAAAATAGAACTCAGAATTCAGAAACTAATTCAGAACCTCACAACTGCATGGAAACTAAACAACTGGCTCTTGAATGTTGACTGGATAAACAATGAAATGAAGGCAGAAATAAAGATGTTCTTCAAAACCAATGAGAATGAAGACACAATGTACCAGAATCTCATGGACACATTTAAAGCAGTGTCTAGAGGAAAATTTATAGCAATAAATGGCCACACGAGAAGCAAGGAAAGATCTAAAATCAACACCCTATCAATTTAAATTGAAAGAGCTAGAGGAGCAAGGA